TTGCACACCATCTTTACCTATGGTATCGACGTCTGCTTGTTGCAAGTCCGCGTCCGATGAAGGGATGCAAGAAGAAGATGAAGAAGAAGCAGGAGGGCGGGAACAAGGGGGAAAGGGCTGTGGCAGTGGCGGGAAATTACAAACTATTCCTGGAGTTGCAGGGTCCTCTTTTAGACAGTTTTCTGTGCGTGGCGGAAGAGACTGAATATTTTCACAATTTTTCTCCTTTGGCTTCATTTCGGTGTCCATTGCTGATGATGATCCTTTAAGTGATACTTTAAATCTGAAACAGTTTGTTAGCATGGTTGGCGTAACATAATTTGTGACGATACATCAAATACTTCTACATTACACATGCATGTGGGTGGTTCGAACAAATATTCGATCTTTAAGAGAAATGTATATTATGTGTATACATTTTTTCGCTTTTTTCTCTTAATTTGTCCCCAGTCCACTAATGTTCTTCTGACGCCACCAATTGAGAAAGAAAGCGAAGAACGATATAATTCGGGGGCGTTTTAGTGAGGAAACAAAATAAAAGTTCTTTATTAACACTTGTAATCTGGAAGAAAAGTAAGAAACAAAATGCTCAGAGTATTGATTTGATTGTGAATAAATTAGAGAATTTGATATGTAAGGGACATGTGTTCAATATATCCTTTCGCAATTGAACAGATTTAGCTACCCGTATTTAAATAAAATTCTTTTCGGGAAAGTATTTTCGCTTGTGCGAGCATTGATGCATGATTCATTACAAAATACGCGGTGCGCACTCAAGATTGGTTTTATAAATCTAAAGACAAACATCATCATCGTCTTGAAACGCGTCAAGCAAAGCAACTATTCTTTGCCGTTAAGTGAACTGTAAAAGGTTTAAGGTTAATAAGTTATGAGACCACATGATTCGCGTTCATGTGCTCGCTGCAGTGAGCGATTCCTCAACCTGTGACCGAAGTTGGTTAAATAATTATAAAAGCGTGAGATTAGCAACATTCGAAAACGTAGACATTTTCGCTCTTCGGTAATAGAAAACTTATCGCATCGGTATACTCCAGATTTGATCGTTTTGCATTGCTAACAAAATAATACCCCCCCCCAGCTCTACTCCTACCATTATACGCAAAACTAGAGCTCAAAAAAAGTGCGTATAGTAAAGGTATGTGAAGTGAAACATTTATATCCCGAAGCAAAGGGGGGGTCATTATCAGCATTTTTTTGAATGGATAAGAAAACGACAAAAACCTGAACGACATTCGGGTCATTGACCCGAAGCTGCAGTAAATTACTTGTTATACGCATATTAAGTATTTTTAAATAAAAAATAGAAGCGGTACATAAAAAGAATTTTAAAAGTTTTACCCAAAATGTTGCAAGTTTAAGACAGCGCATCTTTTCACATTCATCATAACTAAATTAAAGAGCTATAGACTATTTCGAAATTTCTGTACAATGAATCTAATCAATATGTCAATGTACAATAATAACGATGAAAATAAACCTTTGAAGCAAGGAAGGAAAAGAGAAGTAGACTTTTCTTTAAAAAAAATACATTATCTTTGTATATTTGTTAAAAAAAATTTCGTGGATTTTTAAAATTAAAAATTTAGAATTTTGTTTGTTAAGTCTCATCCTTTAAACGATATGCAAACATTTGCAAAATGTTTAAGGAATTCAAATTTTTAATAAAATATTTCAAACCACATCATAATTCATTAAGTTTTTCGTAATAAAAATTTATTTAAAAAACTGATTATTAAAATCAATAAATATTTGAGTAATCACTAAAGAGAACTCTGTACAACTTAAGGAAGTTTTAAAACTACTTCGTGCCATTCAGGCGGGGAGAGGGGGAGGATTGGGATGGGGTGTTCAGGACGAAGGAGCAAGCAATGGCGGGTTTGAGAGAAATCATCCGGAGGGTAGGAGTAATGAGCCATATACATAATAATAATTAGAAAGCCATAAGCGATGAAAATAAAGTATAAAAACTAACTTCCGAAATAATTTTAATGCTTTGTGATTGGTTGCTTTCTTGCAGTGTTATTTTAGTTTTTTGTGGTAGGGTAGCTGTCAAAGTGGTTAGCTAGATTTCTAATTAACAGTTACATTTCTTGCGCTCTTCTGATTCTTTGTGATTTGCGTTTTTTATTCGCGAGTGAGTGTTTCAACGATGAGAAAAAATATGCGTGAAGGGAAATGGGTGTTTGGCCGTTATTGTTTAGATTCAAAATTACCCATTGATTGCTGCAAAGGTAACATATCTTGCATGTGCCTTTTTAGGTTGGCCAAGCGCTGTTAGTCATGATGGCTTGGAGTGGAGGTGTAGGAAGGAGCCATTCACGCGCAAGTATTCAGTATGAAAGAGGTCATGGTTCGTGAGAAACAATCTGTATGATAGGTTCTTACCTTTTCGTGGAGGAGTCTCCAAATTATACAAAACTAACTCTCATTTTTGGTAAGTTTTGTACATTTATTTCAGAGCGCTTTCGTAGTTTTGGAGAGGGCATTAGGAGATCTCTTCTACTTCCTCACATTTCCCATCCCGCCCATTCTCAACTTTTCCCCCCACATTCTCCCTTCGCCCTCCCCATTCTACGGCTCGCTTCACTAGGATGCATCATTCTCTAGTTCAGTTTTTCGAACCACAGGGTCACTAGTCATGCTTATAAATATTTAAAATTAAATTAATTCTACGTAGCCTATCTGAGTTTCATTTTAGAGGTTAACTAATGACGTTTCAAGTTTTTATTTCAGTTTTGACGCAACAAATTATTTAATGTTAAAAAATATTCTCTGCAAAACGTTTTGCAGAGAACATCCTCAGGGAAATTTTGCATCTACACTGTGTGGAAGATTCAGGAATATTAAAACCTTAGTACGACCTTCAGTGCACTGCTGGTAATTGCTGTAGAGAGAGTCAATCTTAGGTTACAGTACTGAGAAATGTAGCTATTTCTATCTATCACGAACGTTGGTAGACCGTTGTGACTCCTTGTCTAACAACGATGTTGCCAACAAAGAAATTTAAAATCTGAATTTATTTAAGTGACCTATATGTATTGAAGAGTATTAAGAAACCTACATAACTTGTTTCCGGACTAAAACAAACAATTGCAGTAAACTTATTTGAAATTTTTACAACACACTTTCATTTTTCACACATCTTTTGAACATCTGGAGAAACAAATTGTTACCCGTTTCTTTTTTAGATTATTAACACGACCCCTACAAAATTTTAAATGAATAGGATTAATAATTATTTATAAAAGTAAATTTTAATTAACTCCGCGGAAATTCATCAACGACACTATGTTAACATGAGATAATTTTCAACTTAATTTAAGCCAGATGATGCAAGCGAGAAAAACTTAGAAAAAGGTTTTCAATTATTTTTAATGAAAGTAAATATTTCACTTTTCTCCACATAAACCTATGTGAAGGTTGTAAGAGCGTGTGGTGGGACGGACACTTCTTGACGTTGCGTGGCAGTCATTCCTCAATGTTGATGCCAGCAGGCGAAAGGTTAAAACTTTTTTAATATGAAATAGCTCGAGATTTTACTTTTTGATACTATTTTGTAACGTTCACCCGATGAAAGTTTTGTCTCCTGGTTGAAGTTGCTTTATGTGTAATCGTGAAAAAATTCTGGTCGAAAGGGTCTAACGTTTAATTTTAGATCGTTCTGTGCTGTAAAGTATTGGAATAATTAAAATTATACTGATTGTTACTTATTCAAACGATATTTACGATCTTTTTGCGTGATTGGGACAAAACCAACAGATGGCAAGAATGGGAAATAATTTTAATTACTTTGTAATATTTCTTTAAATAGCATTAGTATTAGCCGTGATGTTAAAGAAATATCTCGAGTTTCAGGATGCTGCGAGAGAATCATTTACAGTTCATAACAGTCGTTTGTACAGTGTAAATGTTATAGGAAATTCAAGTATTATTGCCTAGAAAATACTCTTAATATTTTATTGAATTATTTACCACGAATGTATATTAAACAATTAGAAAATGTTAGTAACTCCATAGTTTATAAAAAGTAGCAAGAGATTATCGCAAAAATCACATTTTGTTAAGTACATTCTATTCTTGTGAAACATTTTTGTTTCTACTCTATAATAAATTCCTTTATTCGTAAGCTGTTATTACTTTTTGTCACGTTCAGACGTCCATTATAGTGGCCGGTATCAGATATATTTCGTTTGCGGATTAGCGTGTTTCACGATAGGAAAGAGGAAATAACTTAGCAATGACTGAAGAAAATCACCGTAACTCTTGGTTTACGAGGATATTCTCTAAGAGAAATTTAATGAGAGAAAAAATCTCATTATACTGTCAACTATGTGTTAAATAAGTTTAGATACAACGGTTCAACAAAGAACCTACCAAGATAACCCAAGAGAAAAAAGATCTATGACCGGGACGAACGCATCATTCAACAGACGAAGAAAACCACAACTAACAGTTCCCAACACGCAAAATGATGAAAAAAATCACTCTAAATGAACTATGAAACCAGACAATTCGCAGGGTACTGTGGAATTACGTCTATTAATACAGAAGAGCAAGAAAGGCCATTCACGAGTAGAAAAAAATCGACAGGAATGATATTTGGTCGGGTGAAACTAAAATAACTTTATGGATCTTGTGGATGACGAACGTTATGAAGAAAACGAAATACGGTCAACGAAAGTTGCAATAATCTGCCTACTGTGAAATATAGAGAAGATTCTGTGATGTTTTGGGGGTGCATGTCGTCTAATGAGGTTGCAACTATCAAGATCGAGAGCATTATGAGCAAATGGCGATTCTTAGATGTCTTTAAGAGATATGAAGAGTGCAGAAAAAATGCATGTAGGGCCAAAATACATCTTTCAACAAGATAATGACCCTCTCATACTGCTGATATCTGCAAAGGTGGCCAAGCAATTGTGACTCCCCGTCTATTTCCTGATTTGAACCCAATCGAACGTTTGCGGGTTCATTTGAAGTTAACTGTGCATTCAAGAAAACCCCAGTTTCTGGAAAAGTTAACTTGATATGAGGGAAAACCTGATGATATGAGGTGCTTTCAATGCAGAGACGCTACAAAACAGTTCTCAAAGCTGAAAGCTATGCGTCAGGGTTTTAAATATATTTCTGAATTTTTGAATACATTCTTAAATATTTTTGATATTGTACAAGACTGTTGCACCATAATGGCAATAATTTTGTTAAATTATTTATTTGTATTTTTATTTGAAAGCAAATTAATTGTGTTGGTTGTTTTTGGTTCCTTAGAGCTACATAAAGACAAAATAGTGCTTACAAAATAATGTAAATATTTAATTTGAGTTACAAAATGTAAGTGTACAAATAAGATTGTTACACCCTGTAAATTGTGGAAGAAAATCGAGGGAACACTGCAGTCAATGATGTATCCTACTTACCTTACGTCTTTTAAACACAATACCTTAATGGTATGGAATTAAACGTCGAAGGGCAATTAGTAAGCGACATTAGCGGTTTCGTCTGTGTTTAATTATCGCTACTTCGTTTTTTTTTTGTTTTTTTTTTACGGACAATGGACTGAATGCAAATTTCTAAATTATTTGTCAGATTACTTCTGCAACACTTTTCTGTACATCGTAATCTTCTACTTATTGAAAAAGCCTTTTAATAATTGAAATAATGTTTTCATGATTACCTGGGATACTTTTTTTGTCGTTGCAAGAAAAATAATTTGCCATTTTATTCTCTCAAAGTCAGCACATGTGGTCTTCCGTAGCAAATTTGTCACCATTCCTTAGCGACAGTAATACAAATGTATTAGCCATACTTGCATTTCAAGTGCTATGTTAACTTATTTTTTTCATAAAAAGTATCATTAGCGTGCATTTCTCTCTTTAAATTTATTGAGAGATTAGAATGCTCATTCAAAATTACGAACGTATTACGTTATGGAAACCGGACGTCTTCAAAACAGAAAAAAACTTCTAAATAGTACAGGGTATTATATTCATGATTTGTTACAATACTTCATAAATATATTTGTATCTTAATAAATTAGTCAAACCTTGTGATTATTAGCTTTCTTTGGAAGATTCTTAGACCAATTTGGCTTGCGTCTCGTGGTAGCGGAAATTAAGCAACACCTTCGCCCATTTCCTGCTGCAATATAAGGTTGAGGCGGTCTGTAGTGCCAGAGAAACAACCGAGAACATTGATCGTTTGTTCCGCGAGTGTGGCAAGGCTCTAAACCATATTTTCCTCACGGTCAAATTCAAATTTAAATTCAAATGATTTTCTTCTCGCATTGGAGTTGGGAACAGTGCAATAGCAGAGGTCGCATGAAAGTAAGCACAGCCGAATTATAAACTGATCGTGCGATTTGTGTGTGTTCATATGGCTGCAAGAAACATTTCAAAATTTTCTGTAACGCATGTAACAGTTACTTTGTCCAACCGTGTAATGGATTCAGAGCCACACAATCTAAATGAAAGAATAATTTTTCCGATTTTACTTTTATTTTTTGAACCAATGAGTGAAAATTTATAATGATTCAATATTGCCTCCGAATAATTTATAACAAATTCTATAATATGCGACCATCTATAGAATAAGAGCACCCGTTTTTAAATTTTCTCATTCAATTCACGAATTCACGACTACTACGCGATATTAGTTGGCAATTCAGGGGGTTTTCACCGTTCAACTACTTGCAATCCAATGATCTGTTAAGTATTTCAACATATGACTGACTGACTAAATACTATAGTTGAGCGAAATTCCATTCACGTAAAAAGAATCCTTCAGCCATTTATTTGGCATAAAAGCATGTAAACTACCATTGACCTCTTCAAAGGACTAGATGAGCTTTTTTCGAACTTTATACTCCGTGTAAACATGATCCTCCGGGTATTTCCACCTAGAATACATTTGAATTGTATTCTTCAGAATTTTGTTACACAATTATCGATTGTTATTTGATGAAACACCATTAGCTTTGGACGTATGTAACTTTTTAATCACTATCAAGTTAATGAGATTCATATTGTGTTCCACTATAATTAGAGATTTTGCTTAGTTTCACCGAAGAAAAAAGTAACCAATATATTTTGCTCTAACTGGTACCATGAATAAACACTACAGAGTTCCTAGAAAGGACAGCAGAGATACGGCACACGAACATACTGTATGCATAGAAAATATTACTCTATGCATTTTTTTGTTCTTGTCGCCTATTTACTGAACTTTTTTCCACTTACGTTTGACATCCCTAATTTTATTTCATCCACAATACTCGTGATTTAGATGTGAATGTTGGGTACATCGGGACATCTTAGCCTCCAGTCCACGACCCTCAGTAGGTATAAATATCTTTGAATACATTTTTTGTAATGGCGTATTCCTCACTACATCTTTAGAGATGTTGATCTTTTTCTGCCGAATGCACCTGTTTGGTTCAACGCAATTTTATGAACAACTCCTTTTGACACCAGGCGGTCCACGACGCGCAGACCCGGGTCGTTACTACTCGCGCAACTTTTCTTCAACGATGACCTTTGCTTCCCCCTCTCTGGCACAAGAAACAGATGAGGGCAAAAGCTCGCAGCGAGCACTGATGACAACATTCCAAACATCTTCACTGGCGCGAAATAGAAATAGTTTTCTTTTGAAAACTTCTATCAGTCATTTTCTCTAAAAATCTACAGAAATTACCGAAGCATGTAAACATCTATCACAGGAGATACCTCGAATTTCTGAGAAAGTTAGAACGCAAATTATTGAGAACGTTGAGAAAGCATGACATTCTCCAGAGATTGGCATTGCTTTGTAAAATCCAGTAGTCTATTTCGTAACTAATACACCCACTCTACCCGCATTTCTTCAATCTAACATTCAAGAAAAGTTGCGCGAGTAATACCTTGCTGCGTTCGCGAGGAATTTCCGGGCCTCTCTCTCACGACCTTTTTCGCGCCTCTACTCTCGCTGCGACGGGTCGCTTCGTTTCAAAACCTCCCTCACTTTTAAGGGAATTTCTTTTAAAGAAAATGGCACTGAAAAAGGAAGCTCGCCTCAGCTTATTACTTGTACGTATTTACACGGCCTTCATATATTGCATAAGCAAGGGGGTCGGTTACAATCCCTATTAGCTGAATGATGAATATATATTAACGACCTCAAAATGAGAAATTGTTGCTACAGGAAACCAAGTTATAAAATTATAAAAACTATCGAGAAATATCGTACCATCCCATAGATATTTCATATTTGAATTCTCCGGACTTAAACGTGCCATTAAAGTCGGCTGAGAACTCGAGTGTCCCCTTTGGTTCAGTTCAAAACATAAAAGTAATAAATATTTAAACACTCAGAATATACACCAACTCGTTGGAAAAAATGACAAAGCAATACGATACGACCTTAAATATCATATTAGGATGTGTCACAATGTTTAATACAATCTATGGCGGAACCCAACGGAAACCATAATATTAGATTGAAAGCAAAACTCTCGCAGGAAACGAAAAAAGGCCTATTTCTTGAAAGCCGATTCAAAAAATAAGGAAAGTACCTCGCGGAAACTCTGCTGGCACGTGCACTGCCGCTGAAACCTTCCTTCACAAGAGAACGCCTGCAACTGACTCACCGTGTCTTCTGGCGTAAATGAATTATTGTTGTATATGTCTTTCATTCATAATAATATATATATAGATTATATATATATATATAATATATATATATATATGTTCTTATCGCTTTATGCAATCACGACTTATTTCTGTCTTACGCAACTCAGTAACGTAGGTATTTAAGATTTTGTCTAGAAATGAACACAGTGCAGTCGGTGAATTTCTTACATATTATCTAGTAATTACCATTTCTACATAGTTGTCATCAGTTTATTTTAGTTCCATACTGCCCAACACCTCCTGAACCCAATCAGCGCCAAGTCATGTTTGGACGCGGGTGTTTTCTGTTGGGAAGGGGAAAGGAGAGGTGAGTCAGTGCAGGCGTTCTCTTGTGAAGGAAGGTTTCAGCGCAGGTGCAGCCAGCAGAGTTGGCCCGGAGGCTACTTTCCTTATTTTTGAATCGGCTTTCAAGAATAGCCATTGTTTCGTTTCCTCGAGAGTTTTGCTTTCAATCTAATATTATGGTTTCCGTGGGTTCCACCATAGATTGTATTATGTTAAACATTGTGCACATCCTTAATATGATATTTAAGGTTCGTACGTATTGCTTTGCTCCATTTGTTCCAACGAGTTGGTGGTTATATTCTGAGTGTTTAAATATTTATTACTTTTATGTTTGAACTGAACCAAAGGGGACACTGTCGAGTTCTCAGCCGACTTTAATGGCACGTTTAAGTCCGGAGAATTCAAATATGGAAATATCTATGGGATGGTACGATATTTCTCGATAGTTTTATAATTTTATAACTTGGTTTCCTGGTGTAGCAAAACCAATTTCTCATTTTGAGGTGTTAATATTATATTCATCATTCAAGCGAATAGGGATTGCTAACCGACCCCCTTGCTTATGCAATATATGAAGGCCGTTGTAAATACCGTACAAGTTAATAAGCTGAGGCGAGCTTCCTTTTTCAGTGCCATTTTCCTTTAAAAGCAAATTCAAACTTAAAAGTAGGTGAGGTTTTGAAACGAAGCGACCGTCGCAGCGAAGAGTAGAGGCGCGAAAAAGGTTCGTGAGAGAGAGGCCCGGAAATTCCTCGCGAACGCAGCAAGTATTACTCGCGCAACTTTCTTGAATGTTAGATGAAGAAATGCGGGCGTAGAGTGCGTGTATTAGTAACGAAATAGACTACTGGATGTTACAAAGCAAACGCCAATCTCTGGAGAATGTCATGCTTTCTCAACGTCTCAATAATTTGCGTTCTAACTTTCTCAGAAATTCGAGGTATTCTCCTGTATAAGGATGTTTACATTGCTTCGGTAATTTCTGTAGATTTTAGAGAAAATGACTGATAGAAGTTTTCAAAAGAAAACTATTTCTATTTTCCGCGCCAGTGAAAGTTTGGAATGTTGTCATCAGTGCTCGCTGCGAGCTTTTGGCCCTCATCTGGTTCTTGTGCCAGAGAGGGGATCGGAAGCAAAGGTCATCGTGAAGAAAAAGTTGCGCGAGTAGTAACGGACCCGCGCGTCTGCGCGTCGTGGACCCGGCCTGGTGTTCAAAAGAGTGGTTCATAAAATGCGTTGAAACCAAACAGGTGCATTCGCAGGAAAAGATTCAACATCTCTAAAGATGTAGTGAGGAAGTACGCCATACAAAAAAAATGTATTCAAAGATATTTATACCTACTGCAGGGTCGTGCGACTGGAGGCTAAGATGTCCCGATGCTACCCAACATTCACATCTAAATCCACGAGTTATTGTGGATGAATAAAATTAGCGGATTGTCAAACGTTAAGTGAAAAAAGTTCCAGTAAATAGGCGACAGAACCAAAAAAAATGCATAGAGTAATATTTTCTATGCCATACAGTATGTTCGTGGGCCCGTATCTCCTGCTGTCCTTTCTAGGAACTCTGTAGTGTTTATTCATGGTTGACCTATGTAGAGCAAAAATATATTGGTTACTTTTCTTCTTCGGTGAAACTAAAGCAAAATCTCTAATTATAGTGGAACACAATAGAATCGCATTAAACTTGATGTTTGATTAAAAGTTACATACGTCCAAAGCTAATGGTTGTTCATCAAATAAACAATCGAAATTGTGTAACAAAATTCTGAAGAATACAATTAAATGCTATTTCTAGGTTGAAAATACCCGGAGGATCATGTTTACCACGGGAGTATAAAGTCGAAAAAGCTCATCTAGTCCTTTGAAGAGTCAATGGTAGTTTACATTGCTTTTTATGCCAAATTAAATGGGTCTGAAGGATTCTTTTACGCTGATGAATTTCGCTCAACTATAGTATTTAGTCAGTCAATCATATGGTGAAAATACTTAACAGATTCATTGGATTGCAAATAGTGTACGGTGAAAAACCCCTGAATGTGCCAACTATATCGCGGCAGTAGTGTGAATTCGTGAATTTGAAATGAGAAAAGGTTAAAAAACCGGTGCTCTTAATTTCTATAGATGTCGGCATATTATAAAATTTTTACATTATCGGAGGCAATATGAATCATTATAAAGGTTCACTCATTGGTTTCAAAAAATAAAAGTAAAATCCGGAAAAAATTATTCTTTCATTTAGATTGTTGTGGCTCTGAATCCATTACCACGGTTGCGACAAAAGTAACTGTTACATGCGTTACAGAAAATGTTGAAATGTTTCTGCAGCCATATGAACACCACACAAATCGCCACCGATCAGTTTATAGTTCGGCATGTGCTTACTTTCATGCGACCATTCTGCTATTACACTGTCCCAACTCCAATGCGAGGAAGAAAATCATTTGAATTTAAAATTGAATTTGACCGTGAGAAAAATATGGTTTAAAGCCTTGCCACACTCGCCCGAAACAAACGATCAATGTTCTCGTTGTTTCTCTGGCACTACAGACCGTTCAACCTTATATTGCCAGCCAGGAAATGGACGAAGGTGTTTGCTTAATTTCCTGCTACCACGAGACGCAAGCCAAATTGGTCTAAGAATCTTCCAAGAAAGCTAATAATCACAAGGTTTGACTAATTTATTAAGATTACAAATATATTTAGAAGCTATTTAACAAAATCATGAATATAATACCCTGTACTATGGGTAGAAGTTTTTTTCTGTGTTGAAGACGTTTCCGCGCTTTGCCATAACCGTAATACGTTTCGTAATTTTTGAAGGAGCATTCTAATCTCTCAATAAATTTAAGAGAGAAATGCACCGCTAATGATACTTTTTATGAAAAAAATAAGGTTAACATAGCACTTGAAATGCAAGTATGGCTAATACATTTTTATTACTGGCGCTAAGGGAATGGTGACAAAATGTTGCTACGGAAGACCACATGTGCTGACTTTTGAGAGAGTAAAATGGAAAATTATTTTTCTTGCAGCGACAGAAGAAAAGAAAGTTATGCCCAGGTTAATCATGAAAACATTATTTCAAGTTATTAAAAGGGCTTTTTCAATAAGTAGAAGATTTACGATGTACAGAAAAGGGGTTGCAGAAGAATCTGACAAATAATTAGAAATTTGCATTCAGTCCATTGTCCCGTAAAAAAAAAAAACAAAAAAAAAACGAAGTAGCGATAATTAAACACAGACGAAACCGCTAATGTCGCTTACTAATTGCCCTTCACGTTTTAATTCCATACCATTAAGGTATTGTGTTTAAAAGACGTAAGGTAAGTAGGATACATCATTGACTGCATGTGCCCTCGATTTTCTTCCACAATTTACAGGGGAGACGAAGTGCGTATGTGACAGGCGGACATGTAGAGCGCAAATGAAGAGAGTACGATTATTTGGGTAAGCACTATTTTGGTCTTATGTAGCTCTAAGGAACAAAAACAACCAACACAATTAAGTTGCTTGTTCAAATTTAAAAATACAAATAAATAATTTAACAAAATTATTTGCATTATGTGCAACAGTCTTGTACAATATCAAAAATATTTTAAGAATGTATTCAAAATTTCAGAAATATATTTAAAACCCTGGACGCATAGCTTTTCAGCTTTGAGAACCCTGTTTGGTAGGCGTCTCTGCATTGAAAGCACCTTCAATCATCAGGTTGTGCCCTCATATCAAGTTAACTGTTTCCGAGAGAACGGTTTCTGATGCCCCACATTAACTTCAAATGAAACCCGCCAAACGTTCCGATGGGTTCAAAATCAGGAAGTGAGACGGATGCACAAGCTGGCCACCTTTGCAGATATCAGCAGTATGAGGAGGGTCATTATCTTGTTTGAAAGATGCGTATTTGGCCCTACATGCATTTTTTCTGCACTCTTCATATCTCTTAAAGACATCTAGAATCGCCCATTTGCTCATAATGCTGGTCGATCTTGATAGTTGCACCTCATTAGACGACATGCACCCCAAAACATCATAGAATCTTCTTCTATATTTCACAGTAGGCAGATTATTGCAACCGGGTTGACCGTATTCTCGTTTCTTCCATTAACGGTTTCGTCATCCACAAGATCCATAAAGTTATTTTAGTTTCAGCCGCCCGACCAAATATCATTCCTGTCGAATTGTTTCTACTTCGTTGATATGGGCCTTTCTTGCTCTTCTGTATTAATAGACGTAATTCCACAGTACCCTGCGAATGTCTGGTTTCATAGTGTATTAGAGTGATTCGGATCGATGTGCGTGTGGACTGTAGTTGTGGTTTGTCTTGCGCCCCGATCTGTTGAATGATGCGTTCGTCCCTGTCATAGATCTTTTTTCTCTTGGTTATTCCTTGAGGTAGGTTCTATGTTGAACCTGTGAGCGTAAGACGTAGTGTTAGACCGCGATAGTGGACGAGTATAATGAGATTTTTTCTCTCATGTAAATTTCTCTTAGAAGAATTATCCTCGTAAACCAAGAGTTACGAGTGATTTTCTTCAGTCATTGCCTAAGTTATTCCTCTTCCTATCGTGGAAAACACGCTGAATCCGCAAAACGAAATATATTGATTATCGGCCACTGGTAATGGACCGTCTGAAACGTGACAAAAAGTAATAACAGTTACGAATAAAGGAATTTATCTATAGAGTAGAAACAAAAATGTTTCACAAGAATAGAA